TCAGTCATGGTCGACTCAGAATCTGCAAAATGTAATGACAAGAAACAAAATTTAAATCGTGTCGAATAAAATTTAACATATGCTCTGTGACTAAACGGATTTTACCAAGAAACAGATATCGATCTGAAACTTCCTTTACTTATCTGTAACACATGCTCTGTAGTTAATCACCAGAAAGGTTAACAGAACACAACTACATATAAAACTTCCTTTACTTATCTGTAACACATGCTCTGTACTTAGTCACCAAGGAAGTTAACAGAACACAGCTTCATATAAAACTTCCTTTACTTATATGTAACACATATTCTGTAGTTAATCACCAGGGAGGATAATATAACAAAACTACATCTACATCTTCTATTACTTATCTGTAATACATGCTCTGTAGTTAATCACCAGGGAAGTTAACAGAACACAATTTTATCTAAAAACTTCCTTTACTTATCTGTAACACATGTTCTATAGTTAATCACCAGGGAGATTAATTTAACAGAACTTCATATAAAACTTCTTTTACTTATCAGTAACACATATTCTGTAGTTAATCACCAGGGAGGTTAACAGAACACAACTATATCTACATCTTCTGTTACTTATCTGTAACACATGCTCTGTAGTTAATCACCAGGGAGGTTAACAGAACACAACTATATCTACATCTTCTGTTACTTATCTGTAACTCATGTTCTGTAGTTAATCACCAAGGAGGTTAACAGAACACAACTATATCTACATCTTCTGTTACTTATCTGTAACTCATGTTCTGTAGTTAATCACCAGAGAGGTTAATAGAAAGAGATTTGCATCTACAATTTCCTTTACTTATTTCTTACTCATACTCTGTAGTTAATCGCCAAGGAGGTTAAGAACACAAACCTCATCTAAAACTTAATTTACTTATCTGTAGCTCCTGCCTTGTAGCTAATCGCCAGAGAAGTTTATATACCTGTTGCGTCAGCGAGGTCACGTGACTAGTGTCACGCCACCTATTTTCTAGAAATATCCTGTTCCTTCGTGAATGCCCTAGCATTTACTAGATATATGTTAGTCTGGTTTTCTTAATAAAACTGGTTTATTCTTTCTGAATATAACTTTACCGATACACTTATTTTCAACAGTCGCTCTATAACAAACGCTATAACAACGAACGTTAACTTCAACAATACTTTCTGACTGCAGTTCAATTACTCACTACCTACACACATTGTCCCGTCACGTTGTGAGCGTCTTATATATATGAACTTGTGTCGCTAAAGTTTCGTCGGAATGAAGTTACGGAAAATTAACTAATGACTGGAGGCGTAACATACCCTTTAACAAATGGTACACTTTTTAAATATCCTCCTGCTAATGTCACAAAGTGTTACCAAAAAAGTTAATTTAAATGTTAATTAAACCATTTTACTGTCAATGTATTTTAATGAAATTTAGCATTATCAAATACGTTATAATTGAAAGTTTTACGTTATCTAAGGTTTTTTTCCTTGTTTGCTTCCTTCAGACGTCTAAAGTACACCGCACACATGTTTGAACATTACTGTTTAAAGCATATTCCAAAAATTTCTCTCCCATGAAATGGTTGTAAATATTAGCTTATTTTAAGGTCAGACACACTCACTTGTAAAGATGAAGCTGTGTTGCTAAGCGACAGTTTTAAGTTGAATGGCATGCTTATAGCCAATAGAAAGAGTAGATTTCGTCCTTGAAGTTTGTTAGTGTAATAGGAAACGTGTGATTATACACTTAACGTATTTACTACGTCGTGACTCGGCAATGGTTTGGTAATGTCCAAAAAGTAAGTAGCATATACCTGGTAATAACGTAACTTTCCACTACGTAATAACATTACATTTTATATAAGTAGTCAAAATGTATTTTACAAAATATGTAGCTAGTGCTATTAAGTAGCAATAACATGAGAATATTGCATTGCATTCGAAAAGTTCATCTCCTTGGCAGTTTAACTCACTGGCTATTACGTATTCCACACTTAGTATTAAATATTAGTTTTGTATATTTAATGTCATATTCAAATAAAAATCTTGTAAATCGTGTAAAATATTATTCTCCACTTAAAAATATCAAAGAAAAATTAATTCCAATTTACTTGCTTATATTTGAAGTGATTTGATATATTTATTGTAATTTGGATAAGTGCGAAAGCTCAGAAATGACACATATAGCTTAATTACACTTTACACCAAGTTTGAATAAAAACTCAACTGTCCAGCATTTTTGAATCAGCAAACTTAAATCTCCAAAATACTTCATCATCCAAAGGTATGTAATGACAAGATATTGTTATGTATCTGCTTGTTTGTTTGTTTCCGGTAGAAATTCTTCCCGAGGATCTTCAGTGATACAAGTCCTTTCTTGATTAAATCAGTTTATTCTTCCTCCATACAAACTCTTAGTACACAGTAGTTCCATAATCAGTACGTTTCTCGTCACTTTATACTTAACAACGTTTATAATACACGCTATAAATCACAACGATTCACAATATCGATAACTTCGCCCGAAACTCACCATGACTACTGTTCGCTTTATCGTACATTCATCCCCGCAGGCTTTCACTGCCAGGCTTATATACTAAGAAAGAGGCGTCCCACGATCACACTCGAGTTTCCCTGAAAATTCGAGAAACTCAGTCACGCATGCTCTCAGCGTCACGTGACTTACGCTGTCGTAACAGTACATTATGGTTGACAGATGTCTTCTGTGTAAATAATGGTTTCTGAACGTATAACAAAAGGAAAAAGCATCTATCATTGTTTTAAAGCAGTTCACAATAGAGATAAGATTCCAGCTGTCTAAATATAAATTTTCATAGAAGCCATTTCTCCTTTTTGTACACTTTTTAAACTTTTATAGCTAAGGGATTGGCTCAAACTGCCAAATTCCTTTCCTTCGTTCTGCACATGTGTAATGTTATTATCATTTTTGAGGCAACAAGTTATAAAACATAAACATATTAAGTCTAAATTTATACCTAATAAACTTTAAAATAAATCATTATGAAGGTATCTGGCACCTTTTCTAAGAGGATACAAGGTCATTTAGGTGGAGAATGTTAATTAAACGTTAGAGTATAATAAAAGTGTTACGACAACGGGAGTGACATGACGCTAGTAACACGTCATATTCTCGAAGGTTCGTGAATGTTCAAGCGTTTACTAGATTTCGGTATTCTTGTATATATAAGACCGGAAAGAAGTGGTGTGACAGGACATTCTGCAACGTCGTGGAGACCAGTGTGGATAACTATTGAGCTCATGGGCATAAAGGACAGACACAAAGTATA